ACATCAGTAATCTTTCCCTGAAAATCTTATGTTCTAAGTGAACATCTAACCAGGAACCTATTCCCCCTTATTTTTTTAATAGACTTTATTGTATTATTACTTTTTCCCCATTATTTTAAATAGGACAAATTATAATGTGTTATACAGAAACCCAAAGGCTCCAACTATTTCCTAAAGACAACAAAGCTAACTAAAAAACAATAAAACATCTAAACATAAGAAATAAACTATCATGTCAAGATATAAAATGTTTAAAACTTTACACCTTGATTACCAGAACAGATGATTATTTGCAGCTGCTTTATATGCAGCAGTATTTTTTCTTTCATTCTAATTGATTTCCCACTTGCTTAACATCCTTCTCCACATTTTTTTCAACATTTTCTTTAGTTTTCTGGGACATGCTGACCACACCAGGCAAATACAATGGCTAAATGTGAAAAAGCACTGTTGGAAATGCCTTTTGGACAAGCACACAATGAAGGAGAAAGGCTCACCCTAAGTATGATGCTACACATTTTAGGGCTAGCAACGCTCCACCTAAACATCCCTTTGGTTGACATTCAGCATGCTTTTCAAAAAGTCTGCACAGGAGTCTGATGTTCTACACATTGTATTTGGAAAATAACTCAATATTTTTCCTGAATGTTTTTGTGTAAAATGTTTTACTGAATTTGGAGACTGTCAATAACATTTTTCCTATATAAACATCAGCCAAATCCCCTTTTCCATTCCGATTTACTGTTTATGTTTATTTAATTATGTTTCCAAACTATATTTATGCATATGTAAATGCACAGGGAAAGCTGATGGAAAACATTCATTTTTCATTCTAAAATCTTTTATATTGTTTCAACTTTTTTACAAACAGCGTGTATTTGTTTTTACATTTAATTTATTTCATGATATTATACTTAGAGATCAAGCAAGTTTATTTTTCTATCCCCAGGGATAAGGCAAGCACCTAGTATTTTATTTATTCTCCTTGGCACTCTGGTTCTTTTAAATTTGAAAACTAATGTCTTTATTCAACTCTGGGAAATTAATTTTATTACTTATTTATTTCTTCCCCTCCACTCTCTCTGTCCTCTTCTGGAATGACGATTAGATGAATGTTAGAACTTTCTAGTCCCTCCCCACTCTCTCTAATTTTTCTCATATGCTCATAAGGCAAAAGAAGCCTTCTCCCTTTTGATGACTATAGATCAATATCAGAGTAGACATTTATTAACCCTGCTTAGGTCCCATGCCCAACTCTGGACCAATCACCATAGCCCAGGGAGGTGCGTTATTCTAACTGGCTGAGGCTGGGTCATGTGACCACTTCTGTGAGGAAGAATCAGGAATCACAAATGATACGTCACTGTGATCAGGGAGGAAACAAAAACTATATCCACCCTAGTCCACAAGATAGGATATTAGTTTGCCCATGTTATAGGTCATGAAAGCTTGATTAAATGACATGTCCAAAGTTTCATAATAAGTGGTAAGACATGTACTCAAAACTGGTAACAAAGTTTATGATTTTCTGTTATACCAAAGTACTAAATTATTAAGTTGCTATGAGGGTCGCTATAAGTCAGAATCGACTCAACATCAACTTGTTTGGGTTTTTTAATGGCAGGAAGGGTGTCCTCAAACAACAACAACAATGATAATAACAACAACAAAACCCACTTTATTTTAATAGTCCCTCAGTGTCTTTGCACCCAATTGAAAACACACAAATTAGAACCGTTCAGCAATTGGTATTTACCATCGCCAGCACTGCAAGCCACGTCATTGAGTCCCTTGTTCCACATCTTATACATCTATAACCTTAGCACAAAGAACTCCATTAAGAATACAGAGGAAAGTCTAGTGCACTTGTTAAGATTAAAAACCAAAGAACATTGGCTGGTAATTCCTAGATATCTGGGTCAATGACTGAAAGAGACTCCCTCTGCAATGTGCTATATAATCAAGATCTACGAGTATACTAGTAAAGTTACTTTCTTGTAAGAGAGGTAAAACCAAGACTTTTGCAAATCGTGATTGCAAAAGATAGTATTCAAAAACCCATTGTCGTCCAGTCAATTC